AAAAAAAAAAAAAAAAAAAAAAAAAAAAAAAAATAGTCTGTGGCTTAAAAATATATAAGGTTTGAGAAAATAGCTAAACTAGATGACCTCTTGGCCTGACCTTCTGTGACAGGATGCCAGCTCTCAGGGAACCCCGGGTCCTGGACACAGACCTGGACACAACTAAGCCTGGTCAACCACACAGAGAGAGGAGCCGTGGCGGGAGGAGGTGGGATCTGAACGCTCAGCTCTGAAGCGGACTGGGACTTGAAAGTCTCCTGTTAAGAGGGAAGACACAGGAGGGGGTGTTGGCAAATATTAGATAGGAAGCAAGAGAAAGAGGCGGAGGAAAGGGATAGAAATAAGAGGAAATGAGAGGAGGGATGAAGTTAAAAAAAAAAAGGGGGAAAGACAGCACCCAAGGAGACAGGAGCACCAGGAAGGGAAGAGGGGGAGGGGAGGGAGGGGGGAGGGAGGGAGCATCGGGGGAGGAGAAGGAACAGGAGAGGACCCCTTCATCCCGTCCTCTGACCCATATTATCGTGAGAGAGGGATGCCACTTCCCAGGACCAGGGCCAAAGGAATCCGACCCACTGTGTGGTCTCTGACAGGCCACAGGGACCTGGTGAGGAAAAAGGACTGGGCTCCATGAATATCAGGACAGGACCCCTCCCCACGCCCCTTCAGTGACCCATCTTGGATCTGTCATCCACAGCACTTGCCCAAGCCCTTCTGAACCAATGGCATTTCCATCTGGCAGGCTCCAGGGCTGACCTGCCACACACTGAACACGTGCTGAGTGGCCAGGTGACACACTGGGCTTCCTCTCACTGTCCTCAGGTATTTCCTTCAAGTGCTACAACATCCAGCTTACAGACTTTTGTCCTCGGAGACCCATCCCAGCCTTTCCTTTTTAGACTGCAGGGTCCTAAGTCTTGGTGCCCATCCCCGTGGAACAGCCCCTTGATCCAAGGAAGGACCCCAGAGGCCAGAGCCCAGGGCTCCAGTCTTGGTTCAGCCACTGACCCCCGGCAAATCCTTTCATCTACTGGCACCTCGGTTTCCTCATCTATAAAATAGCGATAGTCAAGCGAACCTCACTGATGCACCGTGAGATACATGAGACCGCACACATGTCCAGACTGAAGCCCCTTAATCCCCAAGCATGATGCAGAGTGAAGCAAAGTTTGCATCCAGTAAACTCCCAGGACTGGGGCTGCAGGGTGAGACCCAGGTCAGCTGGTAGCCTGGGGTATCCTAGCTCTACCCTGACAGCTCAGCAAGCAAAGCCAGGGAGAAGTCTGGGCCCCAGTGGACCCCTTCACCTGACTTCCAGAAAACACAGGACAGTGAAGGGGTGAAGGCTGCAGTAATCTCCCCCAACAGCAAGCCCAAGACCTCTCCCCGAGTCCTGGGCACACAGAACAGTGTGGATGTTTGCCAGCCAGCCAACCTTTTCTGAAAGTGGCAGATGGGGGAAGTGCATAAAGAGGTTCCACTACCTAACGCCCAAGCCTTCGGCTCAAATTCACCATCTCCTTCACCATTAACTCCCCCCACCACCACCATTCCCCGCAGGGGGTTCCAAAGATGAATGAGTCACAGCCCTGCTCACACCCAGATGAGAGAAATAAACACCCACAAGGTCACCTCTGCCCAAGTTCAGCAAATGGGAGGGGGAAGAGGCCCCCCACGGTGCAGCTGTCCTCTGAGGTCACAACCCCCCCAAGACCACCCTCGATGCCTATCTCACCCAATTATCTTGGTGGCAGGAAGGGAGGATGGCAGCAAAGACAAGGTTCATCCTTCTAGAAATTTCTCCCAGAGAGGCCCTTTGCTCAGGAAGCTAGAAGGAAATTATCGTCTTCCTCCTCTTCCTTGCCACCTCTGTCCACACTCCCGAAACTGGGTCTGGCATGTCCAGGTGCCAGGGACCAAGTCCAGTGTTGTCTCTATGGGAAAACCCCTGGCCGGGGCTGGCAGGCCCTCTCCTGTGTCCCCTGCTCCTGTCCCCGGCCCCATCCCCAAATCTCAGCGCCCTTGGCGACCTCCGTCCTGCACACACCCACCCCCAGTAACACACCTCGCCCTCCTCCCCTCCCCACCATCCACTAGTACAACCCCTCTTTTACCTCTGATGACCATCGACTATCACTGACTATTGCAAAAATCTCCTAACAGGTCCCCCAGTCACTCTCCCTCGACAACCAATCTCCACCTGCTGTCAGATTAATTTCCCAAATCACACTTGTCATCAGACATCCCTGTTCAAATGCCTTCAGCGGCCTCTCCACACTCACCAGTTCAACCTGAAAATTAGGTTTGACTCCCCACCCGCTCCTTCCCATATCAGAACCCTGCATTCTCCCAAACGCAAGGCCTGTGTTCCTCTAGGTCAGGGGGAGGCAAACATTTTCTGCAAAGGGCCAGAGAGTAACAATTTTAGGCTCTGCCGGCCATAGCGCCAGTCCCAACCTAACTCTGCCTGCAGCACCTGGACAATACATAACAATAGGGTGTGGTCCGTGTTCCAATAAAACTTAATTTATTCAAACAGGCAGCAGGCCAGATTCAGCCGGCAGGACCCACGCCCCTCCTCAGCTGCCCTGTGCTGTCCTGACTCCCGTCTCTGCTCCCTCCTCACCCACCCCTCCCAGTTCCACATCTCTGCATCTCCATGTCCTCAATTCTCCCTGTTCCTCCAGGCCCAGCAGCAGGGTACACCTGGTCCATGAGTCCTGTGCTTCCACTGCCAACCCAAAGCCGCCTCCCCGCTCTGCGTCCATAACGCCTTATCCAGCCCCCTGGTGCACCCATCACCTCCTGCCCCGTAATTCTCTGAGCGTACACCCTGTCCCTCCTGCTGGTATGAGGACCAAGGTACCGGCCTCATATGCTGGTCAGCCTCAGTGCCTGGAACAGAGTGATGTGTGGTAAGAATTTACGTTGAATAAATGAGGGAATGCATTGATGGATGAATAAATGAATGAGTATAAGGGAGAGCCAGAGGGAGGGAAGAAAAGAAGGAATGCATCAGCCTCTCAAAGCTTTGAAACGAGCCGAATTTGTAAATCAGAAATGTATGCCTAATAGGCATACGGATACACTGACCAGCCTCTGGGTCCCATACTCTGACAGCTACCGGCCTGCACGCTGAGTAAGAGACCCATCCAGGGA